AGATACAGTGAATAACCATAAATATAACTCATACAAACAAAAATTCTTTTGGTCCTCCATCATTTTTAAAAGTGAAAAAGATTCCTGAGAGAAAAAAGTTTAAGAAACACTAGTATATTGTGTTGGAATTGAGGAATGTTAACTAATTCTCAAGAAGTATTCACACAATTCAAGAAGATTAATTAATCTGGAGATGGAGTTAGCTCCTAAAAGATTGTTGTCTGTGATTAAATTTTATCTCCCCTTGGATTAATTAAGTTATGTGTACTGTTTAGAGTTCTGCACAGCGTGTTTAGATTCCCCTGACTCCTATAGTGTGCAAATGGGATTCCAATTTTAAAGAGATATGGAGATATTTGCATACAGTACTCTAATCCAGAGGCAGGCAAATTTCTGGATTGCAATCCATCAATCAGAATCTAGAGCAAGAAATATATTTAGTTCAGAATTCATTCTCAGTACAGGGTCATGTGGGAATTGAATGTTACTCCCTAGCGTTCCCCTTGAATACCTATTTCTTATTCCTAGCTTTATTAATTACAGCAATATCAGAGAAAAGTTGTGTCTTTTCTGTTGGGGCCTACAATTGGCACCTAACCATGAGATTTTCAATAATCTCTGCGTATTGCAAAATATTCACAATATTGCTATCTCAGTTTGAACAATAATGGGAGTGTTGAATAGAATAGTGGAGTTGGAAGGAACCTGTCTTCTAGTCTTACCTCCTGCACAAGCAGCAGACCTTGTACCATTCTGAAAAAATGGCTGTCCAATCTCCAACAAAATGAGTTTCAATGTGGAGAAAAGCAAAGTCTTACACTTAGGTAGGAAAAACCAAAGGCACAAATACAGATTGAGTGAGACCTGGCTTAACAATAACTGTGAGAGGGACCTTGGAATCCTAGTGGACGATCACTTGACTATGAACCAGCAGTGTATAGCAGCAACCAAAAAAGCTAATACAATCCTGGGTTGTATAAACAGAGGCATAGAATCAAAATCACACAAAGTACTAGTACCACTTTATAAAGCCCTAGTAAGACCACACCTGGACTAATACAGCCAATTTTGGTTACTATATCACAAAAAAGATGTTGAGAGTTTGGAAAAAATTCAAAAAAGAGCAACTAAGATGATCAAAGGCCTAGAGGCTGAAACATATGAAGAACAGCTACGGGACTTGGGTTTGGCTAGTCTAAAGAAAAGAAGAAATAGGGGAGACATGATAGCAGTATTCTAGTATCTGAGGGATGCCACAAGGCAGAGGGGGCCAGGTTGTTCATCAGAGCACCAGAGGGAAGGACGAGAAACAATGGTTGGAAACTGATCAAAGAGAGAAGCAACCTGGAATTAAGGAAAACTTCCTGACAGTGAGGACAATCAATCAGTGGAACAGCTTACTCCCAGAAATCTTGGGTGCTCCATTATTGGAGATTTTTAAGAAAAGACTAGACAATCACCTGTCCGAGATGGTGTACATTCTCCTGCTTGAACAGGGGGCTGGACTAGAAGACCCCCAGGATCCCTTCCAGCTCTATTCTATTCTGTCTCCAGTGATGGAGCACCCACAACTTTTGAAGGCAGCCCATTCCACTGTTTAATTGTTCTCACTGTCAGGAAATTTAGTTCTAGGTTTGTTCTATAACTGGATCTTATCCAGCAAATTCATTCACAGAAATCATTTATATTACCTGTAATCAAGTTTCCTGTATACATTCTTGTAACAGAGATGCAATTCTTGTATCTAAGTCACAGTAAAGGAGAATTTTCATGTGGAGCTTGCAATTGCTTGTGGCCTCTTTCTTCAACCTGCCCACCAGGCTATTTGATCTTGTATCTTTTAGGCTAAAGGCAACGGCTTGGATTCCATGGATTTTTCTTTCAAATATCTCCTGGATTTCTCCATTGTGCTCTTTGTTCCATCAGCTGAAAGCCATCTGATGTATCATAAGATGATTATATTGAAGGAAGTGGGATGTTTTGTGAATGTTTCAGATCTTGTATATTTTCCTATCCACCTTATTTTAAAAGAAAGATCCAGGCAGGTCCAGGCAACGTCTTTTGGGCCTTCTGAATTAGGGCTCCTATAATCCCTTGCTATTGGCTTAGCTGATAGGAATCAAAATCTACATGTTAAGGTTATTTCTTTTAAAAAATTAACAATGGCAGCTTTGCCTAACTAGTTGGTGGTTTTGTGTTGTTGTTGAAATTTTATACTTTTGTTTCTTTTATATCTTATATATCACACCCTTTATATGATGTACATCCTGTCATCTTGCCACCTATTATGTTACTATGGTGTTAAAAAGGATACCATCTTTTTATTTCCCCTTTTTTCTATCATTGCTGCAATACTGATAGTGTTATGTTGACCCACGACTATCTTAGATTTTTTAAAAAGGATAAACCTACCTCAATATTTTTCTTCCTTCTTGTTCCCTTAGCGTTAGATTTCCCTCCCCGTTTTTCTCATACATTCTTAACATTCCTGGGTCATTCCACTTTTATATAACAGAGTAAGATAGAACTCAGGCAGGCCTTTACATGACCACAAACATGCTTTCTTGGAATCCTTGCTATTTAAGCATTGCAAGGATTGTTAAGTGCCTGTAACCCCATGAGTACAGGGGATGTCTTGATTGTTGCTAATATCTCAATTTCCTGATCACTAAATCCTATCAGGACATTTCCTGTACTATTGTTTTATGACACGGGTTACATAGACCTATACGGTCCAGAATAGACACCCTCTCTTTTGTATTGTTGGCCTTAAGGCTTGTCTGTGTACAAGAAATATATAGAAAGCTTCGGTCAAAATGCTGTAAAAGGACTAGCACTATAACAAGGCAACACAAATTTTTGTGTTATGAATCTCCCAATTGCAGAAATTAAAAAAAAGAGAAAGTGCCACTGCCTTTTGCTCTGTTGGTGTGTACTCTGATTTTCTTAACACTGCCTTCCTAAAGAAAGCCAGATACTATATGAATGATGCACTGTTACGTGTATTCTCTAGATAATGCAGAAAAAAAGAATCTCACTATGGCAGTATTCACATCCCAAATGGAACAACCAGTTTTTATGTAGCCTAGTGTTATAGGAAAAACCCAACCTGTTGTTATTGATTGCAAGAGCCGAGGTGGCGCAGCAGTTAGGGTGCAGTACTGCAGGCCACTTTAGCTGACTATCTTCAGCAGGTCAGCGGTTCAAATCTCATCGGCTCAAGGTTGACTCAGCCTTCCATCCTTCCGGGGTAGGTAAAATGAGGACCCAGATTGTTGGGGGCAATGTAAATATATATATATATATATATATATATATATATATATATATATATATATATATATATATATATATATATATATATATATATATATATACATTGCTTACTGGTGTACACCGCTTAGAGAGTGCTCGCACTTAAAGCGGTATATAAGTCCCATTAATAAATAAATAAATAAATTTATAGTTCAGTGTTCTGTCAAAACTGAGAAATGGTGTCAACCAAGTTAAATATGATAAATATGCTTTTGCAAATTTCAGAAGAAGATGTATCCTAACATTAACTCCATGTTATCCTATCACCAATGCTTGCCCTCTGATCCTGAGCCCTATCCACTCTTTTACTCAGAGACTAGAACCAAAGGAGGCAGGGGATGTGGATTTTCCTTTCTTGGCACTTGTCATGGGTCCTTCCTTGCTGTAACAGCCCAACAGCAGCAATACTAAGCAGAAACAAAATCAGGGGAGGCTCCTTCCTTGGCTGGAGGTTAATTTTGCCTCTTGTATCTGTTGATTCTCCTATTTACCTGTCTCTTTTAAGGAAATCATTCCCTTAAAGGTACAATAAAATAATAGCTTACATTTGCATAGATTAAAAGTAGATGAGTGACCAAATGTTTAACAGTTCCTCTTTGAAAAGTTTTAGAAGGAAAAGGAAAGATCATTTTGATCTGTTTTAGGTTCTAATCTAGCCATCCTGCAAATTGGTACTGATTGTCCTGATTGGAATGGGGAGAGAAAAGTCCTCATCCCCCCTCCCTCCAGCTGTATTAATATAGCAATTTGATATTTTAGAATGGGAAATCAATACTTTGTGTGTGTGTGGCATCTGGATGTATATATTAAACAACTTTATGTTGTTGCTTTCCCCCCTTCCAGCTCCTCTTCTGATCAGTGGGGTTAAGGGAGGCAAAAGAAAAGGTCAAACTAATGAAAGCCTCACAGCAAGCCTCACCACTTTTCCACAGAGTCCCAATATTGCACGCATGACCAGAGTTTACAATGTAATACTATTTCATCATTCTAACAAAAGCACCAGGATCCTATGGCTGCTATTGGCTATGATAAAAATCCATTCATTGCCTTCCACACCATCTCACAATGAAAAACACCACAATATTCACTGATGAAATTTAGTCCTAGAACATCCTGCCTATTTTTTTGCACTGAAATTTTCTGGGGAATCTGATGGAAATTGGCATTTATTCCTCTATGAGTTTTTTTCATCTGTCTTTCTTTACCCTTTTTTATGATTTTGTTGATTTACTGTTTGATTTACATTATTGGTAATTTGCTTTGAAACCATTTGAATTGAAAAGGAGGCAAAGAATAAGAAAAGAAAAATATTTAAGATTTTTAAAGAAAATAATTGCATAACAATGAAGCTTCATCACAATAATAAACAATGGCTCAGGCATTTAAAGTCACATTTTGAACAAATCAGCATGAAAGTAGCTCAAGCTATAACCCCTATTATTTTATCCTGATGTTAGCTATGTTGGCCTAAGAGACACTGATAGAATCAAGTTGACTCAATGAACATCTTGGCTAAGTGTTGACCTAACCCTGCTCTTCCCAAGCAGTGGATATTCTAGGAATCTGAGAGAATTGTGCCAACTGAGCTGAACTGGCATCTTTGGGCTGTAGGAATATTTGTTAAACTGTACTCATTTTGGGGGGATTGTTTCCTCATGCTAATAATGTTCTTTCACTACTTTCAGAATGTGGGCAGAGTGTTGCAGAAAGGATGCAGCTATTTGGTCCTTGGCCTCCAGGGTTTGGCCAGAGCCTATTCTTCACCACTTGGCTTGCCTGTTTGGACGGGTACATCAGTGCGATAGATCTTACTATTTTTTGAGGGGGACAAGGACAACGAAGACAACAACAACACAGTTGAGGAGAGTAGCCACTTCTCCTTTGCTCCAATACACTTCATCTTCTGTAAATGCCCCAATTTGTCAAAGGAGGAATAAGGAAAATTGATCTGTTTGTGCATTTTTTGTAAAACGTTTTGCTGTTTTCAAGTTTTCATGATTCTTCAAGTGCTTTAATACCTATCAATTAAAAAGAATGAATAATGCCAAAGATACAAAACTAATTAACTGGGTCAGATTTAAAAATATATTAGTCTTGGGAAAATTAATCAGTCCAATCAAAAAAATGGTGAAAAAAGGAAAAGATAAAGGATGGTGAGAGAGAAAGAGAGAGGGCAAAAGTGAAAAAGAAGAAAAATTAAGGGAACAGAAGAGAAATAATTGCTTTTTTGGCATGACCACATTGCCATCAAAATGTTGGCTAATAATCTGACATACAAGCACTACAGGCTTCTCCAAAATGCCATACTAGGAACCGTAATAACAGAGCATCTGTATGTTCAGCCAGAAGAGCATTGCAAGAAGCAGACCAACTGAGAAGAGCTGAAGAAGAATGGAGACTCCAAAGGAGAAATTAATTGCTCCCCCAAAAAACATTAAGACAGATGTGGTTGCATGAATCTTTCATGTAGGGCCCTATATAGACTTAGACTCTCCTTATTAAGTGCAGAAACTTGCAGCTTCGCTACCTGGAGTGCACTGTCACCCATGTATTTTTTAAAAATAAAGTAGGATAGTGATGAGGAAGACTGAGAAAAGACTGTGTAGCAGAAACTGAGGTAGCAAATCAGGAGAATGGTACCAAAAGATCAGAATGTGGGGTCTCTAGCAGTTTCAGAGTCCATATGAATTGAGCAGAGATATCATGGACTGTAGGTTCAGTTTTCACCATTCAGGAGAGATTCTGAGCAAGCTGCTTCTTCATAGGGGGCAGAGACAGGAGCATTTTTGCCAAAGCAGCTTCTAGCCTTATTGCTTTAATGTAGTGGTGAAAGGTATGCTTACCCTTCTAGTGACTCATGTCTTTGTGCTTTCCCATTTGGATTTCTGTAAGGTGCTCTACTTGAGAATTCTGGGAGTTGAAGTCCCGCCATCTTAAAGTTGCTAAAATTGAGAGACACTGAGCTATTGGAATAGATAACACTTCTCTGAACTTTTTAGTGGTACAAGAGGCCCCCAGGCCAATACTGAATCATCATTCCAAAGTAATTATGCTGTTTGAGAATCTACTTGCAAAAGATCTAAGGCTTAGTTTCTAAGCAAAGAGAGAGAAAGTTCCGCCCTGCAGGGACTTCAATTCACCCTAAATTTCCAAGGAAATGTTAAATATATATGAATATCATGGATAGCACTGCCTCATTGTTCAAGTTCTGGAATTGTTGCAGCAGCAGTCCAAATCTCCTGTATAGGATCTTATGTTGCCTGCCTATGTAGGACAGACATTTGTATTACAATACTTAATAAAATTTATCTTTCTGAGATGGTCCAGAAACCAAAAATAAGTAATCAGATATATATCTCAATGGAAAAGTATGAAGCTGGGCTAACAGCCTGGATGGAAAAGTTATCTCATTTATGTAGAGGAAAGATTCCAATATTTCTATTCCCAAAAGATATGTTTCTACTTAAATAACATTCATGTTACGCTTTTTTTTTTTGCTTGCCTCTGCTTTCAGTATATGTTTCAGAATCTATTTTGTATAACTGTTTTAAGGCTATATTGTATTTTAAGTTGTTAATAAACATATCTGTTAACAAAATGATTTACAAAGAAAAATTAAAGACATTTAATCAATTAATTTGATTACATGGCCTTATTGAATGATATTAGTCTACTTTCCTTCTCTCTTCCTCATCTTTAGTCAAAAAGATTCCCACAGTTATTGATATAAGATCCATAAGAAATGAGGCAGTCTCCCTTCCTCAGGCTTACAATCTCAAAAGTCCCATCCAAAAGAAAGCAGGACAAGAAAAGAACGAGTCCATTTCTGCCATCATGCTGAACCGTGGTGGCGCAGTGGTTACAATGCAATATTGCAGGCTAATTCTGATGACTGCCAGAGTTCGATTCTCATCAGCTCAAGGTTGACCCGGCCTTCCATCCTTCCAAGGTCAGTAAAATGAGGACCCAGACTGTTGGGGGCAATACACTGACTCTGTAAACTGCTTAGAGAGGGCTGTGAAGCACTGTGAAGTGATATATAAGTCTAAGTGCTTTTGCTATTATCAATTCATTCTGCTTCTTAGAATAATCAGTTGCAATGGAATGTACAGATGCATTCCAAATGTTGCATGGATAATCGAACATTTATCTAGGGATATTCTTTCATTTACAGCTATGGAATCCACATATCTCAGAAGTGTTCTCCATTTCCTGATGGGTGAGGAAAGAAGGAGATAGGGTTGACTTGGGAATATCCAAACAGATAGAAATAGAAAGTGGAAAACCAGAGTCTCACTTGGGGGGGGGAGGTGCTGGGGTTAGCCTAGAAAGGGTAAGAAGGCTAAGGAGAACAGCAAAAGAGGGAGGCTGTAGTGTAGGATGACCCAACCAAGGGCAGAAGAAACCGGAGATAATAGATAAAGGGTGTGGACAGCTGTGTGTGGATAGAGTTAGAAGGAATTAATCTTGAATGAAAAGGAGATTGGGTTTTTTTTAGCATTCCAAAAATTGAGGATAGGTATCTTTGAACAGACGTCATTAAAGTCATTAACCTGGCTGGAGTAAGCAGATGTCAATTGAAAAACTGAACAGGAATCCACGCCTTGGTAACAGTTATAGTAAACCGACTACATTAATCTTGTATGGCAAAACCTTCAGAAACTTCTGCTGCAATATTTAATTTGTCACAGAAGCTTTCATAGATGTAATTCATTCATTTACCAGGTGGATGGGGTATAGTTCTGAGAAAGGCATATTACATATACTGACCCAAATTCAAAAGTGTTATATTTCAAATCCAGTCAGATAGTTAACTCAAAAGAAACGATCTTATAACAAACAAATATATTTTAATGAGAAAGATTACTTGCATTCACGTTGAGATTGGTGCTGCTGGGAATACATGTTTGTTCATCTTTCAGATCCTTTCCTTAGGTAAGATTTTGCTCTTTATACCATCTTATAGGGAGACCTTCCATGGCCCATGCTTCTTACAGACAAAGAGATTCCCATGTGGCTTGTGTCCAGGAAGTCTCCCCAAGACCTTTGGAACTCCTCCCACTGACCCATCCACATACCTAGCATTTAACCCAATAACTGCCAGACCTTCCAACATAGAGCTGGGCCATAGAGCTATATGGGCCATAGAGCTATATGGGCCAGAACATTACATATAAACAGAGTTGGGGAAGAGAGGGAAAGGAATGGAAAATAGCAAAAGAGAGATGGGAGACTGTCAGCCCTTTGAGGTAATCCAGATCAGGAAACAGATTCCTCAAGCACACTAGAACTAAACTTTATTGAGATAGAATCTTGCAAATCTGATTGAGATTTTCCTCCTTTTTTTCTTATATCGCAGTGAATCGAAGGAACCAGTTCAAGTCTCTTCCTAATATTTTTCTCTATTTCCAGGATTTAAGGAATGCTTTGCCCTTTTTGTTTTTTGTTAAGTTTCTGAATATTTCTTCTCAAGGCCATCTGCATGACAGAATTATTATGAATAATGATAATTATCTGCACTGTTGCTAAGTATTCTTGTCCAGATGATCTGATTAATCTACCTAGCGTAATAGGAACCTGCTTAATTCATGATCAATTGTGTTCTGGATCAATGCACAAGGTCCTTGTGATATCACACTGCAAACCCTGGCCCTTCCTATATGAGTCCTGATGCCAGCCCCGAGTGCATAAGCCACATAGTTTGTATCGCAAAGCACAATTTGTGATTTTTCACCCATTCCCCCCTTATGGATGCCTATGCTTGCTTTATAAATTTTCCAGGTTATATGTCTGAGAAATAAGACATATTAAAAATACTTTTTTCAAAGTAGAGATCAGTGGTTAAATATTAAGATAGACTGTAGATGGACGTAAATGGAACATAGATTTATAGCCAAGTTCACGATTTTATAACTGGATAACAAGATGCAGCTATTTCTACTGTATTATAACTGAAATTTCTAAAGTGCTCTTCAGCACCCTCTACTGTGAAAAATCCAAATTCTATTGAGAATGAGAAAAATCTTTGAGAAATATTACATAGACTAAGCTGTTACATCAACAAATGTCTTCACTTTCCAATTTCATTGGCTCTGCAGAGTTTACAAAAAATACACCCCAAGCAAAATACATTAAAATATAAAAAAATTTAAAAGAGCGAGTTGAAAAGTTCTATTTTAAGCTTCTTGTTGAAGAGGCCAATTAGTAGGGGCCAATTAGTAGAACCATATTTACCAACCTATTGTTTTTTTTTTTTTTTAAATAATCTTGAGACTATACTCCCTCATTTACTGAACTAGTAAAATGACATTATCCCCATACTGGATTAGAGCCTAGGATCACCATCAAGTCTTCCTCTACATACCAGTCCCTTCATAGCCATTCGCCTGCCATCTCAGGTGTCCTTACCTTCTCCTCCCTTTGTGGTGAGAACTGTGTTTGTCAGTTGGAGTATCTGGATGTCACTGCCTCCTTCCCATACTCTTAACTAAATTATTCTCCAAGCCCCTACTCCAAGAGCTTTGCCAGCCATGCCGTGCCATGCTAAGGCAGGCTACATAGAGCATAACAAAATTAGGATAATACATGGTACAGGCACAGCCAGTGAAGGCCACCTTTAGCCACGCATCTTTTCCTCTGTAATTTTGCACAACCAATTATGCCCTGCTGAAAACGGGTAATACTTGCTAAAAGGACTTCTTAACAACTGCAAGTGAGGCCAGTTATCTTTGCAGAATTGTTTTCTTCTCCAAGTATTTATTACTAATGGCTCTATTTTAATTCTATGATTGGCCAATTATTTGCAGAATAACTGCACTGAGTTCAGCTAAAGTGTATGAGTCACTAAGCTTTTCCCCTAGAGAGAAAAAATGGAAGAATAGATATTTTTATCATTTCCTTTAGTCCCATAAAATAAGATTTCTATTGCCCTGTTCCACTACTTGTATACTGGGGAGGATACATTTTTGTTCATTGTCATTTTCCCTATTTTACTTGCATAGGACTTCTCTCCCCACCCAAATTCCTTGAAAAACAACAAACCTTTCTGAGAACTATACTACTTGAGAGAGGGGGGGAGGGTATAAGTTGTAGAAAATAGTTCTTAAAACTGAAAATTATTGGATGAGAAGTAAAACATTTTCAGAGAAAATGATGATGAAAGAAATTTAGCAAAAAGTAAGTGAAGGACAGTAGCAGATGAACCATATTATACTTAAAATGCAGAAAGAATAGAAATTGAAAGACCAATTTGTGATGCCTGGACAAAAGAAACATGGCAGCGTGAAATAATGGTATAATTCTAATAGAATTTTGTCTTCAGATGGTAAATGTTATATATCTATCGCCTGCTTTTCATTTAAAAATATATATACACAGAATCTACACTATCTCAAAGGTGCTTTTTCAAAAGGCAACTGGACTGTTTTTTCTTAAGAAACCTTTTGCTTCTCATCCAAGAAGCTTTGTTGATTCCGGCAGGATGGGGGGGGGGGAGAAATGGAAGGATTAGTTTTGACAGGGTGGGGGTGGGGGTGGAAGCATCATAGTTTTTTGCAGTCATCTGGTCATTAGCACTCTCCCTGAGAACTCTTGAAGCAACTTGGGGGTTTATCTGTGCCCTCAGGGTCACCTGTATCAAAGTGGAAATGTGGCTGGAGCGATCTTGGAACTGCTGAAAGGACTGCATTGCAGAGAGATAGATGGTGTCTTATCCCTTCCTCTCTGTGGAGAGAGGACTGCTCAACGTTAACATAAATGGACTCTTTTACCCCACCTCTGAAACCAGTAGTCCTTTTTATCCAGAAGGTAGACTTTGCTATCTTCAAAAGAGTGATCTTTGTCTTTCAAATGCAGATGGACTGCTGAAATAAGATCTTGAAAAAGTACCTTTGAAACAGCTATGACCTGGATGGCTGATAATCTCCATAGACATTAAGCAAACATAGCCATCCCAAATAAACAACTACAGTACACTAATAAAAGATTAAACTTTAAAGGATATGCCTGTAAGGCACACCCTTGAATTATAAGGCCGTTTGACTTCATTGGCCCAGCTCATAAAATAATAATAAGTTGTTTAAATAATCTTTAAACAACTGAAATATAGCATTGCAAAGAAGTGGTACTATTTGAGCTGCTAATAGTGAAGTATTCTATCAAAGAAAAGTTTAAAAATGATTCAGACTTCACTTGGCTCTTTTCTTTATGATTTTCTACATTAAAATCTAAAAGCTTTGTTAGCTTATTCATTTTTTTATTTCTCATTTTTTTCTTTAGTTTCTTTCCTATTTGCTTATCAGTTTCTGTTTACTTTTCCTAACTTCCTTTTTTCTATTAATTTGTATTGTTTTTACTTTGCAAAAAATTAGAATCTTTTGAAATCTAAAGCATAATATATTTGATGGCAAAACATGAAATCTAGCTTTTGAAAAGGCTACTCAGCATTTCCTTAAATGCAAACTGACATTTAGAGATGGCCACAATCATCTTTTTGTTGGAGAACATTGAAAAATACTATTGTCTGTATTTTGGAATTGTCCTCTTCTTTCTACAATTTAGGTTGAAATTAACAGGATTGTTGATGTATTTCAATGATCATTAAATCTTGCAGGTTTTCTCTCAATACTTGGGATTTGTCAAGATATCACAGACTCCGGTCTTTGTGGGCAGAAGAGATAACCCAAAGAATTTTTACATCCTTTCCAATTTTTACTTTTTTCTTCTTTTTTTTTTTCAAAAAGCAAAATAAAAAAAAATGTCAAATAGCGATGTAACTCAATAGTTGGGTTACAGTATCACACATAAAGTGAACTCCTGGGGGAAATCAACCATCAGAAGCTGGTCAATCAACTTTCTTAAGGGACTTATTTCTGGTTCCTGGTTGTGTGCCTAACTCAGACCTTTGGATGAGGCTGGAATGATTCTAATTAAAACTTGTGGCCAAATAGCACGTTAGCCATTGGCTCAAACTAATCTTGAATCCAAGCTTCTGGCTCTTCAAGCAAATTCCTGACTCCTTGATGGAGACTATTTGGTATCACCCTAAGACATGTATTCATTCCAATGGGGACTTGTTCAGGATAAAGCATTTTTAAGCATTGTCCCAATTAGTTTGCTGCTTAGTGGTTCATGTATTTTATATTTGGGAAACATTCCTCCCACCTGTATCATCTCTTTGTCCCCCCCCCCTCCAGACAGAGATGGTGATCCAGAGCAATCCCTATCCCACTTCATAGTTAAAGAAATAGGCAAGATGTTCACCAAATGCTTTTATTTCAAGGATCAATACTTTCTCCATGTCCTCCTTTCAGGAGAAAAGTGATTCAGGCAACCACTATATCTAGCTGCCTTTTGCCTTCATGCTTGCTATCATATCATGTACCTTCTTGTTCAGGGCCCCTCCATGGACCCCCTTTTTGCCCATGAGAAAGATAAGAGCTTTGGAAGATTTCCCAATGCAGATGGACCTACTGTCACCACCTTTGGTTCTGGTGTCCATGACAGCATCTTTCTCTACCAGCAAGTTGTCACGGATCACACTGCACTTTTTTCCAGCAATGGTGATCCCAGTTTGTAGGAAAGATCTTCTGTCCTGCCCAGTGATCAGCCCAACTTCCTGAGGAGATATGGCTGCCAACAGACCTCCTGGTTTAGATGCCCATACAGACTTATTGTCAGAATGTCCAACAATTGCTACATCTTCAATATTCTTGTCTTTTAGGACTGTATTGATGTAAGCCTTCCAATCTCCCATGCTGCTTCAGCTCTTGTGGCTTCTTTTATAAGCACCTCTCCTTTGGATCTCAGGATGTGGGATATTTTTTTTCCTGTTAAGCCTAAAAACAAAATCTAGATGTATTAAAAAAAATCCACCTGCTTTTCCCAGGGTATCCCAGCTATGCTCCTGTAATTTCAGGTGATGTTAATAAACCTTCCAAAATATCACTAGGTGGCAACAAAATTCCATATTTTTTTTCTCATAAACAAATTTTAATTTCTCCAGAAACTCAAACGGGCTGATTTCCCCTTTAAAAAAAAAAATCAAAAGAGCAAGAAGCCCCCCCAAAGGAGATCATTTTGCCTCTGCAAAAGTGTAGCTGTTGAAAGATCCCTTCTTTAAAAATACAGCACCCCACCCACCCTTAAAAAACATCTCTGTATCTGTAACATTATATATACTAACTTCATCAAACCAGATTGCAAGACAATTTACAGGAATGTAATAGAATTACTCCAAACTATTTCCTCCACAATTTCCAATAAAGCATAAAATAGCAAGCACAAAGTTAAAATTGAAGCCATTAAAACAATTCCATCATAGCAACGCCTGTAGATAAAACATCATGGATCAAATCCCCACTCAACTATGAAAATGTGCAGCTTAGGTTGTCTTGCAGCTTATAAGGCTTGAAAAAAAGTTAAGTCCTAAAAGAAAGATTAAATGTAGATCTAATAAATTAGGGCTCCATTCCTTTTTTATGTCTTCCCGAACCCATTTGGTAACCAGCAGAACAGCAGAAATTAAGCTGCTCATATGATTATTTAGTGCTATCATACTAAAGCTAACTCCATATGTAATACATCCTGTAGACCAGCTGGGAAGTTACCAAAATAAAATTATTTCAATATAGAAATAGTGGGTGAATCAGCATAGCTATTAAAAGTATTTTAACCACCACCAGTTGGACCCCTAAAAATAACTATGAAGAATAAAAAATAACTATGAAAGTCAACTTTGGTTCAAAACTGTGAATCTTTTCATCTGGGGATGTCTCGTAGAGAACTAGCTGGTTACTGTCTCCTCAAACAAAGGAAAAACTTACTTGCAATACTTCCAGAGGTAACATTAGCTTGATGAGTTCCACCAATTGGGATGGAAAGACTTGAAAAAGATGCTTCTTGGAAAGCAGAAACCTCAAATTCCAGCTCAGGAGTCTGGGCTCATGGAGAGCTGGAGATTAATCTTCTGGGCACTTGAAATCTCAGGTGTCAAAAAGGCAAGCAGAGATCACACCCACTTAGCCAGCCAAAGGCATTCTGAGCTCACAAGCCAATTATTATTGTATTTATGCTTCAATTGTTGCTATGGCCCTCTTTGTGATGTCAGAAGTGTCTTCCCCACTGCATGCAATCCTTTATGACCTCATATCACCAAGGAAAGCAGAAATCTTCCTTCTTTCCAACTGTCTTGAAAGGAACAAAAATATATTTTTTTGTGTTTCATTTTTCCAGAATGCATATAGTATTGCAAGGATGTAGAAACAGGCTTCAGGATTTCAAATGGCTGTCTCAAGTCTTGAGTGTAATCCCCACAGCCCTTCTTAAAATTATTACTGAACTATAATTTTTAATGCAGTAGAATAGTCAAGTCATTGGACAAATGGGAAATAATCCTATTTATTGAATGTATCTGCATTTATGTTAATTACATTTTAAATTTATTGATTTTTAATTAGGTAGATTTTAAAATACTTTAATGGAAGCTGATAGAAACTTAACTGTAAGACAAATATCACCAATAATGGAAATCAGGTTATATTTATTAAAGATTGCAGCTAAATGAGGGAATTAATTTTCTTAGGTTATTTAAAATCATGCTGCAATTGTGCAAAGTAACATTATGCAACATGAAATTATTCTTATGAATATATATTTTGAAATAAATCCTATTTTAAATCAACTGGTTTTAAAACAAACACTAATCCAAGGATAAACTCCATTAATAAAAAAATTAAAACAAACATCATTTGTATGTGCTTGATGGCCAACAATGTCATCATAAAATAAAATGATATCTAGGAAGGAAGGAAGGAAGATACATAGATACACAAACACACACATACATACCATATATACAATATTACTTAAAATTTTGTGAATCCTTTGGAATTTTCAATATTTTTGCATAAATATTACTTCAACTGTGATGAAGCAAGTCCTAAAATTAGATAAAAATAACCCAATTGAGTAAATCAAGAATCAAAAATATGATACTTGTTCATTTATTCATTGAAGAAAACGTTCCCAAACTACGTTTGAGGCAAAAGGGTGAATAGTTCCTCCCCCATGAATGCTGCTGAGCTTCCAAGGTCTATAATATCGTGTCCTGGGGCTGGTTTGTGCAAATCAACAGCTAGATTGTCCAGAGATTAGAACTAAATTATGGCTGCAATCCTGCTTTGTTTGCACATACTCAATAAACACTGTGTCTCTCAAACTTGCTTTTGGCTCACAGAGATCCTGCTTTTACCTAATCTGGTTCATTTTGCCTTCCAGTTAAATGTTAATCTTGTAAATTGATGAATTCTAACCCTAAAAAGGAGAAAGAGAAGAAATATAGTTTTGTGCTAATCTGAACTGCTGCAGAAATATTAAGCCAAACAGCATTGCTGTTTTTAATTACAGTACCATCATTTATGCATGTTTCTTGCAATCAGTTCGTTGTTGAGAAAATGAATTCTGGATGGAAAAGGAGTGGTATGTTGGCAAACCATCAATAGCCAAAAAGAGATTAACAGTCCAGAAAGCCAGCTTGTTTTTCACCTGTCTATGTGGATGCTTTAAACCAGTTGTGGAGAAAATACCTAGATTACATGTCATATAGCTTTGTGTTCACATGAGAAAATGCTGACAGGACCTGGACTCTGATCTAGGCCGCTTTTATGCTACTTTTGAGATTCCCAGGGTGCACACTGCTCCAACATATCCGATTACTGATATGAAGGCAGCTGAAGCATTAAAACCAACCCGTCACGCTTTCGTGCAGAATAGCAGAGTTGGAAGAATCCTTGAAGGTCACTTTCCTTCACTGAACTCATTAGAAATTCAGCGGTCCACTTGCATTCAATTGTTTTCATTTTAAATCCTGGCGCATAATACTTAACGCGGCCCTAGTCTGTCTTCTAGTAAACGACAGGCGTTCCGAGGTTGGCTTTAGGTACCTCATGCCTTAAAAACCCAGATGTGCTCAGAGGCCGGCCAGCCAAGGAGCAACCAAGACACTCCCGTTGAAGAGACCCAGCCACTAATTAAACACGGCCTCTCTTCCCCTCCCTCCATTTCCCCCAATAGGCTTCCTCCGACGAGCGCCAGCCTCGCTCTCCGGCCTCCGGAGTGTTGAAGAGACTGGTAGCTCCGCCTGTCCCAAACGAGCGGCTCTCAAAATCCTCCACACACACCCCCCCCGTTACGGCGCTGTTTCTGCGCGGTTCTGCTGGCGTCGTCGCCATGACGGGCTCCGGTTCGTTTTCGCTGATGAAGCTCGGGCTTAGCCCGCTCTCTGCCTCCGTCGCTCTGGCTGTGCTGATTACGCTGGGAATGACCGTGGCTTGGTACTGGCGATGGAGGAACCGCCGAAGGCCGCTGCGGTTGAAGCAGGTGGGCAGGGTGTCCGGGCTTTTCATCTACCCGATCAAGTCCTGCAAGGGAGTAGCCGTGCAGCAGGCCGAAGTAACGAAGTTGGGGCTCCGGAACGGAGATCTGCGCGACAGGTAGGGGTGCGGGGTCGGGTGAGGATGGGGCCACGAGATAAATATGCCAAGAACTGGCCAAGTCTGTCGTTTTTGTTGGGAAAGGAACAGCTCTTACTGCCTAATGCAGCGTTGTTTCAAGCAAGCTCCTGGCATTACCAATACTTGATGTAGCTGCTCTGCATTTCGGATCACGTTCTCGAACCGGCTGCATCATCAGGCAATACAAGAAATCGCAACCCCTGGTTTAGAAACCTCAGCGGCTGAGTTTTTGTCAGGCATTAATCCAAAAGCCATTAGTTTAAAGGTACCCACATATTTTTCTCTTTTTTCTGGTGTTTGTGCATTAATTAATGGTTCTTCCAGGCAGGGCTTTTGTTGGAACAAATTTGGCAATTTTAGATAAGCTTCTTTCCTTGGTGACCTCTCTGAATTTTCCTGCCACTTCTTGTGTTTCTTTCTTTACCAGGTAAACAAAAATCAGTTAAAATGAATTCTCAAACTCTCACTACTGTGAGTCCCTAAAAATAATATAACCAGGAACCCCAAATAAAACTACTGGTTTCAACGGGGATATGGCTAACCAAGAAAAAAATAAGATGGTTTCATTTTAAGATTAACATTAACATTTCATTTTAAGATTAACATTTAATGTTTGTGACACTAAACCAGGCTGCTAGTTTATTTTGGCAAGGCTGAAGCTGGTTTGCATAGGTGAAATGAGAGCATGTTTTGACAGCACTTCCAGTTTGTGTGCACAAGCACCGCTACTTGAAAACAAACAAATCATTCGTTCATTGGAAACAGAATGGAAATTAATAAAAGGCAATGCTAAATTGGTAGTCTATTGTTCACATTTTAGCATAAGTTACCTTTTGAAAGATAGGTTTGATTTTCAGTATTTAGAATATTTTGATATGTTTTTAACTTAGATATTGGCTTGTGATAAAAGAAGATGGACACATGGTGACTGCTCGACAGGAGCCTCGACTAGTATTGGTCTCTATCACCAATCAAAATGGCTACTTGACTCTGAGTGCTCCAGAAATGAAGGACTGTCAAATTCCAGTCAGATTGTCAACCAAAAATCCAGTACGGAATTGCAGGTGCTTTTTCTTTTATGTTTTTTCAACTTCTTGAGCAACAGGGGAAAAAGTGACTTATATTTAGAAAAAGTACAAAATTAAAACTCTTCCCAGTTCTGCATTTTAAAACCAGTCTAAACTAGTCCCTTCTAAAAAATGCTAGTCATACATATCTTGTACTTTATTTAGTTTGACCTTTGTATTAGTCTTGGGCCAACTGACTTTAATAAACCAATTTAGGATCTATGTCCTTCATGGGAATACCAACAACAGATTGATTCAAAAGTCCAATATAATTAATCTGTTCCTTTAATGTACTTCTCAATTTAACACAGATTACTTAGAGATATTAACAACTGATTAATGCAATTTTAAAGTAAACATTTAAGATAATAATCCACATTTTATTTGGAGCTATTAAGAATGCATAGAAAATCAACACAGAATAACAAAGAGAATCAAATCTTTTAATCAAACTTAACTATTTTTGTCCATTCATAAACTTTCTCCACATAACATTCCTATGGTGCCCTAGTGAATGTAATTTATGATCAGAAGGGCAGGTCACATTATCACTCCTGCCTTTAGTTCTTTACGTTTCAGAAGCAAGATGGATGAGCTTCCCTTTATTATGAGTTGAACTGCTGTAGATTTTCTGGCATGGTGTCTTTCTTTTCCACCCCACCAACAGTTTATCATTTAACTTATGTTTGAATGTTATAAGGATGTAGTTTCCACCCCCTTCTCCAACCCTTATTCATATATACATGCATCATTCATACTAGTCAAAAACATAATGTTACTTTACTTAAAGATTGTTTGGAGAACATTTCTGATAAGGCAGAACCAATGCCTGTGGGGGAATTATGGATCAAATAGGCAGCTGCAAATGAGGTCCCGATTGCAAAATTTTCTCTGGAAGAAGGTGAGATCTGGAGATTGCCGATATGTATTTCAGACAGTTGATTTTTGTGAGTAGGCAGTAGAAACTATCATTTTTGCAACTGACTGCAATCACTGGAAGTTATGAATTCCCTCATATTTTGAGCCATAAATGCAGTCTTTCAGGACTCAAGATTCTACAAACCTCATCCTTTTCATTATTTTGAAATTTTACCTTCATTGCTCCTTTAAGATTGAAAAATCTTGGAAGTCTACTAGTTGCTGTGTGGAATTCTATTCAATCCATTTAAAAAGAAGCAGCATCACATATTTCCAGCTTTGTAAGATCTTTATTTTTTGTAACTTCTTTAATACACGAGGTGATTTCAGAATTGTTTCTGTAAAGCTTTTATAAATGCTAAGGCTTTGTGAAATCAAGTTAGACTTTGAAGTTAATTAGTAAGAGCCTTCTGTGTGGAAAAATCTGTCTTGTTTATATATCACTTGCACAACAATGATAGTAGAACACAAGATGGCTAATTTAAAGAAAATGTTTGGTTTATGGCCTGTGAAGCACTTGAACCTTTTCACTCCTTACTGGAACCAAAAGTTAAAGCAAGATGAAGAATAAAATCCTTCTGATAATAACTGCAGTGGTTTCTAAGGTGGGTTTAACAATTACAGTTTAAAGAAATAGAAATACTGGATCTATAAATGCAATTGGATGATCATTTTTTGATAATTATTTGCTCTGACATCCGTAGTTGAAAGGTTAGTGCTAGCCCACTTGAAAACCATCACAGATCCGCTGTTAAACCCCTTGCAATTTGCCTACCAAGCAAATAGATCAGCAGATGATGCTGTTAATATGGCTCTGCACTACATTCTACAACAGGGCTGTCAAAACTGCCAACCCGCGGTGAAACCACGCCCACCCCATTGCCGACAATAGAAAAAAAGTCACAATACATCGTGACACATCACGTGACATTGCGAGTTTGATACCCCTGTTCTACAACATCTTGAATCTCCAAAGACCTATGCAAGGGTCCTTTTTGTAGATTTAAGTTCGGCATTCAGTTTCATCATTCCAGATATTCTTCTCACTAAACTAAATCAGCTAGCCATGCCTGACCACACCTGTAAGTGGATCATAAGCTTTCTCACAGACAGGAAGCAGCAAGTGAAGCTAGGCAAAATTACATCAGATACCTGTACAATTAGCACAGAGTCCCCCCCCCCACACGGCTGTGTGCTCTCTCCACTTTTCTCTATATACCAATGAATGCATCTCAAAAGATCCCTCTTTTAAAGTACTGAACCTTGCAGATGATACAACAGTGATTGGCTTCATTCGAGACTAACAAATCGGCATACAGATGGGAGGTTGAACAATCTTGAACTGAACACACTCAAAATTGCAGAAATGACAGTAGACTTTAGGAGAAACTCTACCATTCTACAACTTCTTACAATACTAGACAACACAGTATCAATAGCAGAGACCTTCAAGTTTCTAGGTCTATAATATCTCAAGATTTAAAATGGACACCTAATATCAAAAATATAATCAAAAAAGCACAACAAAGAATGTTCTTCCTGTGCCAATCAGAAAACTCAGACTGCCCAAGGAGCTGCTGTACAGTTCTACAAAGGAATTATTGAGTCTGTCATTTGCACCTCTATATCTGTCTGGTTTGGAACTGCAGTGAAACAAGACAGACACAGATTTCACCGAATAGTTAGAACTGCAGAAAAAGCAATTGCGACCAGCTTGCCTTCCATTGAGGACCTGTATACTGCGTGAGCAAAAAAGAGAGCTGTGAAAATATCTACAGACTTCTCACATCCTGGATATAAACTGTTTCAACTTCTTCCCTCAAGATGATGCTACAGGGCATTGCACACCAGAACAACTAGACATAAGGACAGGTTTTTTTCCCCATGCCGTCACTCTGCTTAACAACTAGTTCCTACAACACTGTCAAAATACTTAGTAAAGCTGTATTACTATGATATTCCTCATCTTTCCTATTACCTATCCTTATCTTCTTAACGACTATAATTTTGCTGCTTGTATCTCACAATTTGTATTGGGTTTTTTGTACCCTAGTATGATTTATGTTGTTTGCTTAGCTAGTACTCAATGACTATCACTAACTGCTGCATCTTATGTTGTATTTCACGATTTACGATGAACGTATTTTCATGTTATATATGATAATGATTATCACTATTACTTGTATGTACATTGAGAGCTTATGCACTGGAAACAAACTCCTTGTGTGTCCAACCATACTTGGCCAATAAAGAATTCTAATCATCTAAAAATTGAAAAAGATATTGTGGACTACC